TTTTTATAACTACTTAACTATACAAAATCAAAAATCAAATAGCATATTCTTTATTTATATTCTATAAGTATTAGTATTGTATCACAAGTTAAGACTTTTCTTTAGTCTTTCTTTAGTTTGAATAATAATATTATAATAATCAAGAAGAAAAACTTTAATTATCAAACTTAATTGCAGTCTTTTCAGTTTATAATAAAACATAATCTAGTAATAAAATAATAATTATAATATTATAATAATCAACAAGAAAAACTTAAAATTAAATTAATAAAATCAAAAAAATTATATTTTGTATCACAAGTTAAGACTTCTCTTTAGTCTCTTAGTGGTTAAAAATAAAAATGAATACCTAATTTTATTCATCATCCGAATCTGCTGTTAGGTTTGTATTTAGGTTTCTATAAAACTCTTGGTAAATGTTTGGAATGACATTTGCTTCACAAAGACTCAATAAATCTGTTTTCTTTTTCATTGTTACCCCAGGTGGTCTTGAATATGCCAAGTTTAAGGATAAATCTGTTGGATTTATTGTTGGCCTTCGTCCTCTTAATATTTGTTTTCTAGCATCAATAATTTTAAAAGAATTTTCAGACAGTTCTTCTTTATAAAATATTTTAAAAGGTGACTCTTTTCTAACTTCCATAGTTCTGATTTTTCCCCACAATACCTTTTTATTGTCTGTATTAACATTAAAATTACTTCCAATTTGTCCACTTTAAATCTATCATATCATCTGTATTAGTCATTTGATTTACAAAATATGGTTCTGACTTTCTAGCCATACTGATAACTGGAATCCACTGATCAGGGACATAAATTGGTCCACTTTTAAGAACCTTCTTTTTTTGTTTTTAAATGCATGCATGCATTGCATCGCCTTCATTCTGTGAGTGGCCACAGACTAAAAGTTTATGGGTAATTGAAGGGATTTCTAACTTCATGGTAGCAAGCATGTATAGACATACAATATATTTGTTCTTATTTTGGCCGGTACAGTTATACGAGTAGAATATAATTGGTAGATTAATAATGGAGTTTAAATTATTTAAATATTTCCATAGACATGATGCTATTTTATTGGTACCCCTCTTGGCTTTATCCTCACTCCACACATAATAAAAACCATGTCTTGACGAAGTTTCGTACACAGTAAAATTATATACTCCTAACTTTCGTTTGTAATAAAACATATTTACTTCCCCACAGGGCGTTTGCAAAACTGCTTGGAGATCATAACAACATACAAGTACCATACCTTCTTTTCCTTTTGCAACATCCTTTGCCTTTTCCTCACGACTTTGAATCTTTGCTTCCACATGAGCATCATATTTTACACGCTGTAAATTTTTTTCTTCTTCACTGATATTTTTCCATGACTTACATGTAGTGCACTGATCTTTCTTAGGTACAAAAAAAACTTATATTTCGTTTATTATTAAATAAATCATAATAAACATGTTTATGAACATATTCTTTTTCATTTTGTTCTTGGTGTATCACATAAAGTCTATACATGTCTGCAATTGTGTCAAACCACCATCAATGAATTTTCTTTGTGTTTGTGCTCTTAAATAATGAGACTCAATCCTTGGAAATGAGTTTATATGGTCTAACACTCCTCTTTTTAGCTCTTCTGAAATTTTTTGATGGTTCTTATGTTTTCCTTGCTGCAGTGGTTTCAATACTCCTTCAGAATCGTTCAGAATCTAAGTTATTGAAACAGTTTCTTATCATTTTGTCACTAACAACAAGAGTTGCTTCGAACATCTTTTTGCATACTCTTACTTTACTAATTTCTTCTGCTTCTAAATAGTAAGCCATGTTGTTAAGTTTCCTGTTAGAATTTAACTTTTTTTTTAATATTTTTAGGTGAAACTTGTACCGCATGACGTACAACAAACTCACGCTGCCTATTTTTATCGCCCATCTCCCAAAACTTAGTTCTAATTTTTTCCCTTATTTCTAAGTTAATGATAGAGCTACAGCTGTATCGACAATTTACGCATGGAGCTTTTAATACTTTTGATTTAACAATTGATCCTGATTCACTGACATCATACTCTTCACCTTTATTTTTTGCTAACTTTTATATTATATTTCTTTTCCAATTATCTGGTTTTCTTGTACGTTTTTTTGTAAGCACGACTTGAGGATCTTCATTCAGATTTTCATTTTCTGTTTGGTCCAATTGAATACAATAGTTTTTTTCCACAATACAATTTTCATTTTCAGTTGGTTCTAGTTGAGGGTCTTCATTCAGATTTTCATTTGTTTGTTTAGGTTCATAATTGTATAAATATGTTGGATCATCATCAATAAATTCAAATAAATGATTGTTTTTAGTGTTTCTTGAAATGTTGAAACAGTACCTGCATCATAGTCAATGTCTGCAGGTACACCGTGAGAAATAATATTGTCCTACAGAAATTATAATTGATAAAGAATAATAATATTACAATATTACTAAATAGTATTGTTTGAAATACTTACTTCAAATTCCAAGAGCAATTTATCAATTTCTTCAATGCTAGGTGTTTCATCAATACTGTAACTCAATGTAGTTGCCTAGCAAAAAAAAATGAATTAAAACTTACCTGAATAATAATTAGGTATATAGTAGGTATTTGTATAAATTATTATAAAATATAGATTTTTAGATTATATTATCTTATGTACCTACATGTTATAGCATAATAATATTATACATTAATAATAATAAAAAGTACCTATGATTTACTTTGATTAACATCATAATAAATAATAATATTATTACGATTATCGGTATACTGGTATTTTATATAATATCTTAGTAAGTATAGTATTTTAATTTTACAATTTTAACAATAGTAGATAGGCAGGTACTCACAACAGTTTCTTTGGTGGTTTTTGGATATTGTGCTTTGGCCATTTCCACAAGCTTCTGTACTCTACTTCGTGCAGTCATGTATATTTTGTTTATATTATTAACAACTTACTGTATTAAAATATAAATAATATTAAATGCATAATAACTCAAACAGTTAAACAACTTCAACTAAATTTAACTGATTAGGTACATTATTACAATAATGTTAATAAGAAAATATCGACTGTGTGGATGTGTGATTATTAAAATATCTTATCAGCATGATATGGCGTAATTGCTCCAATAATATTTATTAGTTCTAAGACAATAACGCCACATATGCATATATGGCGTTATTGCTCCGATTATTTTTATACATTTTGAATGAAATATAAATACTTCAATTTACGGCTATATTGCACTAAGCCACCTTATATACATCCTCAGTACAATAAGTTTCCTTCAATAACTATACATTGTACTCAAATAGGAGGTAGATAGCGCCACTACCAAAAAAATCAGAAAAAAAACTAATTCGGGGATATATATAACTCAAAAATCAATTTTTCTGACTTGTTGTGGCCTTATTGTACTGGTAGTGCGACATGTTGATAAACTGAATAAAATAATGTATTTATAGAGTATTTTATTTTTACTCATTTTATGTCCTGACAATTCCCATACATTGTATACATTAAAAAAATATAAATATTTTATCAAATTTTAGTTTTTTTATAGTAGGTATTTAATAAAAAAAAAATGAACTTTAAGAGGACTTCACATCCGTCAATATTGCAATCAGAATTCAATGCTTAGTTTTTAGTTCATATTTTTTTATTTGTAGGTCATAGCTATACTAAATACCCCTATTGTTTTTATTTAAAATAATATTTGGTTTGTTTTTTTTTTTTTGTGTATTTTAAAACATTATTTATTTTAAGTGTTAATTTTATTTTATTTTTCGAAAACTATTTTTAAAGGAATTTATGGTTTTAAAATTTTCCGACTCTTTTTAATCCCTAGTTAATAGTATATGATGGGAACCAAACGGTTTTTTTATTTTTACACATTTTACATCATATTTTTTATTCCTATTGTAATATACTGGTAGTCCAGGTGACTACTTGTATATTAACGTTGCAGGTAGCTTGACCGTTTTGCTGATGATGATGATGAGGTGGTTGTTGAAATAAAGTGTAGACAGATGTAAATATAATGTGGTTTTATTATATGTTCTTCAATAGAATCCACAGAGTCCAAATTGACAATTATATTGTACAGAAAGTTGTGAAGGTGCTTTCAGTGCAGTGGAGTGAACACATCTAAATACAGGCCATTTCGGGGTCCCTCTTATAGTTCGGTCCCCGCTCCTCTCGTCTAGTGATACTGTATCTCGGTTCTCACGGATGTGGCCTATGTGACCTAGCCCACGCACTCTTAGTCGATTCTGAGTATTACCACAGTGTCCTGATAGCTAATCTATGAATTGCCAATTTCATTATTATTAATCATTCTACTTTTTTATATTGAATACCCGTCAAATATAGTGCTATTGCAAAACATTACATCCCCCTAGTCTATGCGATTCTAGAATTGTATCACACTGAGCCAATAATGATTAATTGTATATTTATTTATCCTTTCGTTTTGGTCACCTCCCATGGGCTGTTAACTAGCTAATTTCTATTTCCATTTGACACGTATCTGATTACTACCTATCTACAGTATACTATAATAAATATGGTACCTGTTGGGACTTTAAATGTTACGTAGTAACTAGGGTTACTACACTATTAGAGTACCTTGTCAAGATGAGTGGGTAAGAAAATTATTTTTGGCATCATGTGTATTTCTGTGTTGAGGCCTCCCATACATAGAAAATGCATTATGTATATTGTATTGCCAAATATTTAAATAAACTAACTTTTCAGCATTAGAAAAAGAAGTTTTAATATGTAGATCATTAACTCCAACAATACCACTCATTAGGTATTTTAACACAACACCTCTCTCAAGTTGAATTTCTTGATTTATACATTTTCTATAATCAACTTCAATAAATTCTATTCACGAGACCCTTAAAATAAAATATTTAGTTTAAATTACGCTCCTTGTATTTATTTTAATAATAGGTAAGTACATAATTGTTGTGTGTATGTTTCAGCTGGAAGACCAGTATAGCCTCTTCGATTATAGTATTAATATAAACGATTGTGTACAATTGACAGTCGTCGAGACAGTTGTGCATGTTCCTGAAAAAATTTGTACTGGAGACGTACCAATATATTATGAGCTTAATAAGAATTTGAAAAAGAAAACGAAAACACCTATTCAGAGTTGTGCATCAGACACTAATATAAAAACACCTATTCCGAGTTGTGCATCAGACACTAATAAAAAAACACCTATTCCGAGTAATGCATCAGACACTAATAAAAAAACAGAAAAAGTAAATTATTTACTATAATAAAATCTTCATAAGTTAAATAATATCTTTTTTTTTTATTCTAGGATAATTTAAATGATATATCCGAGGAGAGCAAGTATTTTAAATTGGGCGATTATGTTGATATTAGAGATTATGAGTATGGCGTGTGGTACATGGGTAAAATAGTGAAGATAAAAAATGATGATTCTTCAGAAATTGAACCAACTTCCTCCTCTGATAATCTAGAGGATGATGGGCTTATTTATTTTGTAGAGGATGCAGGGTATGCTTCTATTAATTTTATTAAAAACGCATTTGTAATTAATTATATTTATTTAGATGTCCTACTAATCAACCCGCTAAAGCTAAATTGAAAGAAATAAGACCATATGCTACTGATATTCTGCCATTTGATCAATTAAAAATCAATGATAAAGTTATTATGAATTATAATGAAGATTATCCTGAAGAACGTGGCCATTGGTATGACGTATTAGTGAAACAGATAATAGTTAATAGACGAATTCGTGAAGTAGTAGGAAGTATTACTTTTGGATCGAATAAGGCAGTGTTGGACAATGTTCATTTAAAGTTTGTTGATGATATTTTCAAAATAAAACCATACAAGTTAGTTGCAGAAAGAAGTAAAGATGAAGATACTATCATGCAAACAAAGCCTTCTACGGTAAGTAAGAACAAAATTTGGCAATTTTGTCACTCGTTAAGAAACTATTAAATAAATGTTTTTTTTTCTTGTAAAGGAGCTACAGCTTTAAGTTGCTATAGATGCAAAGACAAAGAAAATAAACCATGTGTATACTGCGCTTGTAAAGTCTGTGGTGGCAAGCAAGATGAGGATAAACAGATATTGTGTGATGAATGCGATGACAGTTTTCATGTATTCTGCCTTACACCTCCACTGGAGAAGGTTCCAGACGTTGACTATTGGTTAGTGATAATGATAAATAATAATTGTATTTAGATTAGGTAGTTGTTTTTACTACTATGAGTATATTAATTTTGTGTATAACACTTGTTTCAGGTATTGTCCAACATGCAAAGTTGATGATGACGAAATTGTAAAAGCTGGTGGAAAATTAAAGGCCTCAAAAAAAAAGAGATTAGCGTCAACATCAAAACGTGATTGGGGCCAGGGAATGGCATGTGTTGGAAGAACAAAGCAATGTAACATTGTTCCACCAAACCATTTTGGTCCCATTCCAGGTGTTGAAGTTGGTACTACATGGTTATTCCGTGTTCAAGTGAGTTGTAGAGAAATCTTCCTCCGAGCGTATTAATGGTTTTTAAATTGTTTTTTCTAGGTATCTGAAAGTGGTATTCACCGTCCTCCAGTTGGAGGAATACACGGCCGTGACAATCAAGGTGCATTTAGTATTGTATTAAGTGGTGGTTATGAAGATGACATTGACAATGGTGATGATTTCCTGTATACCGGTTCAGGTGGAAGAGATCTGTCTGGAAATAAACGCACCGCTCTGCAAAGTTGTGACCAAGAACTGACACGCTATAACAGGTAATTTACAGTACAAAGATTAATTTAAAATGTATCAATCTTTATTATTCTTATAATTGTTTTAATATTTATTTTAGGGCTTTAGCTCTCAACTGTAATGCAGATATTAATGATAAAGAAGGAGCAACAGCTGTGGATTGGAAAAAAGGCAAACCAGTTAGAGTTGTACGGAATTATAAACTCCGTAAGCATTCAGAATATGCACCAGAAGTAGGCAATCGGTATGAATATTTTATTTATAAAAAAAGTTAACTGTATTATTTTTTAATGATCAAATTAAGTACTTATAAATATAATTGATCTAAAAGATAAATCCAAATCCAAATATTAATGCCTAAACATAAATCTGTATTCTAATATTAATTAGTAATTACTAATGAGAAAAAATTATTTTAAAGCTATGATGGTCTTTATAAAGTTATGAAGTATTATCCAGAAAAAGGAAAATCTGGATTTATTGTTTGGCGTTTTGTATTAAAACGAGATGATCCTATACCAGCTCCTTGGACCGCAAAAGGCAAAAAGCGTATAGCTCAACTAGGTCTTGAAATGATTGTGAGTTAAAAAAAGTTGATAACAATATTAATTGTTAATTATTAATTCAATTATTCTATGTGGTTTTAAAAGTATCCTGAAAACTATATACCTCAGCCTGAGCCTGACAATGAAGAATCAGATGTTCCCGGGTCTAAAAGGAAAAGATCTCTACAAGACGACACTAATATAGAAAACAATGAGTCAGATGAAAATTTACCAAAAAAAAAAGATGAAAAGAAAGCAAAAATGCATTATAAACTAGAAAAGGAAGCAGAAACATTAATCGCAGCTGACTCTGGCAATAAAAAATATTGGGATGATTGTAAGGCATTGTTAAAAGATGGCAAAAAAGTATGTAACTATTAAATAAAAAATTCTTTATTTTACCAACAAATTTATTTTGTAAATAATATCCTTTATAGGCATTTTTGGATAGAATTGAAGAAACTTTTATGTGCATTTGTTGTCAAGATATCGTCTTTGAACCAATTACATTAGAATGTGCTCACAACATTTGTAAAGTAAGTTTTTTACTAAGATTTATTTTGGTTTTTGATACTAACTAATATTTTTTTGCTCCTTAGGGATGTTTGAAAAGATCGTTCAAGTCTGAGGTGTACCAATGCCCAGCATGTAGAGCTGAATTGGGAAAAAAATACTCTATGAACATCAATATTACATTGGCTAATACTCTTTTGCATTTCTTTCCGGGATATAATGCGGGTCGTTAATAATTGTTTTAATTACTTGTTCAAACAACAATTATTATAAAATATGGCAGTATACATTTATTTTTATTTTTATTATTATTTTTCTCAACAAGATCTCTTTGGATAGAACAGTATTTTATTTAAATTTATTTTGTAACTTTAGTTATTCATACATTTATATATATTTAATTATACTTGGAGGTTAAGTAACTCTTAAAAAAAAAAAAAAAAACATTTTGTATTTATAGTTTTCAGTTTTTTGTAACAAACAAAGGTCATTAATCAGTTTTATTTGTGAATTACTTTTTATTTTGATAAATTAATTTTGTTAAGACTACATTAAGTATTGGTTATGTTGTACTACTATGTTAAACGATTACAATATAAAAACGAAAAGGTTGAATGTCCTAATAAAGTAAAAATTTAATTATCAATGATTCGTTAGTTTACCTAATTACACACAATTTAACAAACACTAAGAGGATGCCATCTCACCATTCGTTTTATCTTTAACCTACTCGCAACATATCAAATTTACATTTATTACTACCAACCTTGTTACCTGTTGTTACTTTTCATATTAAGTGTGAACTCAAAGGTAGATTTATTTTTAAACTTATTATAGTATATTATATCAGCGCCTATAGCCCGGGTCACCATGCCAAAAATATGTCCATCAGTCTACTATAATAATAATATTATGCGTCAACATCGGGCTGACCCTCTCGCAGCAACATAGGTTATTTATCCTATGTGTATGTAA